AAATTCATACAGAACTCTTATATTGAGAAATTCATATTGCCAACGAGTAAAAGACAAGTACTACAGAACTTTTGAAGCATTATATCCCTTAGAGTCATCCGGCCTAGATGGCGAGAAGTAACTAAAAACCTAAGGTTCAAAGAAAGACATTTTTTGTGTGTTCTGTAGAGGGAGGAGTGTAATATTTTAGTCTTTCCATTTGGCTTAATCCAGGAAATCTATCTAGGAATATTCTGAAGACATTTAAAAAGTAGCAAAGGGAAAAATAAGCTAATTAGTCCCCTTTGTTTAGAATACAGACTATTTTCCAAACTCTCTCTTTTGCTGATTAAGGCTCAGCTGTAAAATGGGTATAGTGATCTTGAGTTGTATATAAACAAAAATCATGATGCTGCACATAAGCCAAAGTGTTCTAGAATGTTAAGTGTCTTTTATAATGTATAAACTGCAGGACACCCACAGCATCTCCTAAAAGCAGCCTGCAGTTCTTTGGTTGGGAATTTCCTGCAGAGTAGGATCTGCTGTTAAAACGTGCCCCCTAAGACCCCTGAAGAACTCTAATGACCTCTCAGAATGTCCTAAGGAAATGAATGTCTCCAGGGAATGATCTAAAACAGGAAAATATTTAGTCTCGATTAGGATATTAACAATTGAAAGCCATCTTAAAAGTATAGTGCCGGAAGAATGATGCATTTATCACATGAGCATCCATGGGATGAAATATTATTCAGAATTCCAATGTTAAGTACGAAAAGTAAATCACCCAAAACAACGGAAATTGCTTAGCTCTTTAAAGTAGAAAAATCATTCAGAAGAGACAAGTATGTTGTTGTTGCTAGTTACCATCAAGCTGGCTCCAACTCACAGCAACCCCCGTGTGTCAGGATAGAACTGTGTTCCACCGGGTCTAAGACGGCCCATTGTCCACAGTTGCTCACCAGGCACTTCTTCTGAGGCACCTTTGGATGGACTCAAACCTCCCTTTCAGCTAGCAACTAAATGTATTAACCATTTGTACCAACCAGAGGCTTAAAAATGATATAGACTATTTTTAAAACTCATGGATTTCAAATAAAATTATATTAGAATAATACAATGCTGATTTCTCACAATCAGATCTATCAAATTGTTTGGGTTTTGTTGTTTTTGTTCTTTGTATTACAAAAAAGAAAAAGAATGCCAATGCTGGAAGACCACTGGCCAACAGCAAGAGCATTCGAGACTAGACCTAATGTGGGAAGCTGGAACTAGATGTTATAAGGTCGGTCACTGGCCATGGCCCTGCTTGATGCTCAACCTCCTGAAGAGATCACTGAACATAGAGATAATATAGCAAAGTGTGGTGAAGAAACTAGATGGTGTCAGCTAGCAGAAAGAATAGGGGTCTTAAAGGCTTGTTTCAAACAAGCAGCCATCTAAGTGAGGTGTCAACTAAGTCCACATGAAAGAAGCACACCAGCCTGTGTGATCCAAGGATTGTAAATAATATAATCTAATTTTAAAGGTGGGAATGGTATCAGAGCTTAAATTGGGAATACCTGGTTTGTAAAAGGTTATGGATGGATGACTGTGGAACCCCAAAATCCATTTGCAGGGTCCACACATGGATTTAGCCTCCAGAGAATCACCTCCAACCATAGCTGAAGGATGTGAATATCCCTATTATCCAACAGAAAACATTAGAAGAGTGGTTCTCAAACTTCCTAATGCCACGACCCTTTAATACAGTTCCTCGTGTTGTGGTGACCCCCCAACCATAAAATTATTTTTGTTGCTACTTCCTAACTGTCATTTTGCTACTGCTATGGATCAGGTGACCCCTGTGAAAGGGTCGTTTGACCCCCAAAGGGGTCTTGACCCACAGGTTGAGAACCACTGCATTAGAAGGTCGCTTATGGCAAACGTAGTTAGGTCAAAATATAATATCTTATCCTTTGATCTCTCTTTGGATCCATTTTAAAACTGTTTCAATTATTTTTTTTAAAAAAGTGAAGATGAAATACACATGGATTAAGCCCATGGGGAATACCGTGACCGTAGCTAATATGCAAAATGCATTGGAAAGTGGATTGTTGCATATGCTAGGTTAAAATTTAACACCCTATCATTGTATCTTCCTTACGATCCAATTAAATGTTCTCGTTTTTAATATTTCCTTTGATTGAGGTTTTTACCTGTTTGTTATTCTTGTTAATTTTTGCTGTTGTTTTTCTATATATGAAATCCAGGATAGGTAATCTATAGAGACAGTAACTGGATTAATGGTCTCAGGATTATAGCAAGGAAGGCTGGGAGGAAACGGGGAACTAACGATGAGTACAAGATGGAAGGAAATATCCTAAAACTAATTGTGGTGATGATTGTACAATTCTCGGTGATGTGATTGAACTACTGAATTGTATGATATGTGAGTTATATGCCAATAAAACTGTTGAGGGTGGGGGTGGGAAGTCATTGGCTTCAATAAATATTTTCATCCAAAAGAGGGCACGCAAAACCACCCATTTTTCCTTCTCGCTATTGTCAGGTCCCAGAAGGAACACATCAAGGTAGTGTTGCCAATAATAGCAGTCTTAATGACGGTCACCTATAAGTAAAAGCACTGGCATGGACTTGGTGGCGACTCAAATGACCCTTTAGGACACAGAACAGCCCCTCAGATTTCTGAGCCAAAAAACTTTGTAAGTCTCATTTTTCTGTGGGTTTGAACCACCAACCTTGCAGTTAGCCACCCAGCATTTATCCTACTGCATTTATCCTCCGGACTCTTTCTGACCAACCTATAAACAAACTCACTGCCATTGAGTCAGTGATGATGCATAGCAATCCTACAGAACATGGTGAGTTTCCGAGATTATAACTCTTTATCAGAGGAGAAAGCCCAGTCTTTCTCCCTCAGGGCAGCTGCAGTGTGTAACTACTATGCCACCAGGGCTCCTGACCAACCTATAGGGCATCTTATTCTCAAAGACTTCTTAAAGCCTAAACTGACATGAAATATATTACTTCTCTGGAGTTCTCCCAACCCCAACTCTGAAAGGGGAGAGAGCAAGCTCCAGAGAACACACAAATCTGCCTTGAAGTACAGTCAGAATGCTCCTTAGAAGCAAGGAGGTGAGCCTTGGTTTCACACTGGGTATGATGTCAGGATAGAGCAGTCCTGGAAAAGGACATCATGCTAGGTAAAGTCTAGCGGGCAGTGAAGCTGAAGGCCCTCAATATGATGGATTGAAACAATGGCTACAATGGGTTCAAACCCAGCAATTCTGAGGGTAAGCAGTGATTTCTGTTGCACAGAGTTGCTAAGAGTTGGAACTGATTCGACAGCACCTCACAACAGCTGTGAAAAAGAAACAAAACGCTGCCATGGAGTCAATGTTGGCTCACAGGGACCCCTGTGGGTTTACAAGACTGCTTACAGGGAGGAAGCAGAAAACCCAGTCTTTCTCCCGAGGAACTGCTGGTGTTTCCAGCTGCGTCCATGCAGATTGCAGCTCTAACCACTACACCAGGGCCCCTTTGAAAAAGAACAATGTTATTAAATTCTTTTTTAACTCTTTTTAAACTGAGCTATCACAAAAATATACTCATATATTGTGAGGGCATTTTAGAGTTGTAGGGAGTCCCCAACACAGATGGGCTGTTTTTGACAAGAATTTTAAGGTTGCTTGTTTGAAATTCAGAAAGCACTTGTTCTGCCGAGGTACTGATTAGGAATCCAGATCTACACTAACGCTTCATTTCCAATCTCTCCCTCAATCTCCCAGTCTAGGCAACCAATGGCTAGGCAACCCCACTGCCAACAAGTCAATTCCGACTCTCATAGGACAGAGTAGAACTGCTCCTTCTGGCTCCAAAGATGATGAATCTTGATGAGAGCAGACAGCCTCATCTTTCTCCTGTGCTGGCTTGGAACAGTTAGCAGCCCAACTCTTATGCTACAAGGCCACCAGACCTCCCAGTGGACCTTTAAGACACTTCTGTTTTCCAGGAGTGTCTACATGTTTCTCCTTTTCTATCATGGGCTTTTCATAAATAGGGTATTTTAAAGCTGGGAAATGCCTAGTAATTTTGCATAACCTAAAATGTATTAATATTCATCTTTTACATTTGACTGAAATCCTACTTAAAACTTTCAGCAATCAGAAACTTAAACATGGGCAAAAGTGTAGTACTATGTCCTAGTAGTTTGATGTGTGTTTAAGGACTTTATACATTAAAGATATATTTTAAATGTAGTAACTCGGGTTGATAAATTTAATGATCAGAATCATAAAATCATTTTATGATAAAATTAATCTTTTTATATAAAATGAAATGATAGTCTAATACCATGGAGTGCTGAACAACTAAACTATGAAACATGATTACAACTTAAATTGTGGTTTCTTCATCTCAAGTCCCTTTTAACGCAGAATTAGACAACTTTCAAAGCCTAATAGTGTTATTTAACATTCTAGTTGCCAAACGATATCCTTTAGGGCAATTGGGGAATTTTCACAGCTGCCAGGAAAGCTTTAGAAAAATGTGAGGATTAAAAAATAGACACCGCCTAGGATGAGTCCTACGGGACCAGTGGTGTGAGTGGCGAAACAGGGAGGGTAGAGGGAGAGTGGGTAGGAAAGAGGGAACTGATTACAAGGAACTATATGTGACCTCCTCCCTGGGGGACGGACAACCGAAAAGTGGGTGAAGGGAAAAGTGGGTGAAGGGAGCCGTCGGACAGGGCAAGATATGACAAAATAACAATTTATAAATTATCAAGGGCTCAGGAGGTAGGGGGGAGTGGGGAGGGAGGGAAAAAATGAGGACCTAATGCCGGGGGTTCAAGTGGAGAGGAAATGTTTTGAGAATGATGAGGGCAATGAATGTACAAATGCGCTTTACACAACTGATGTATGTATGGATTGTGATAAGAGTTGTATGAGCCCCTAATAAAATGATTTTTTTAAAAATAGACACCGCCTAAAATAGAGCTGTACAATCAGAATACTTAGATCTTAGGACTCTAACTGTATTCCTTTATTTTTCTGTAAGTCATTTACCATTTCGCATCTGGCAGCTTCAGCAGCAGCCTTCTCATTTCCAAACAAGTACCCTTGACTTCCCATCGTGTTTCAGATAAATGAATCCTCAGATGTCCTAGAGGGTGGACCTCATGACTGAGACCCTTTTCTAGATATGGACAAGCCACTGTCGTTTCTGTTGGAACAGAATATGCTCCTAACTGAACTCTCACTGGAGTGCTTCAGATGCTCACAATAGTTGTTTTTTTTCCTCCCCCAACACTTCTGGTCCACTCACAACATTAAGGATGTTAATGGCCAGAACTGGTCGAGGCAATGAGGTACATGGATTAGTCACATTTGAGTCTCTCGGTCTGGGGTTCCTCCTTGTAATGAGAAATAATTTGGATCAGGATGCAGCAGTTGATCAGAAGGAAGAACAAACTAGCTAACCAAACAAAGAGAAAGGTGTTCTTTCCTTGAAACTCGAGAGCGTATGCAGGAGCTAGCCATAAGGCCTGCCCGATAAACCACAAGCTTAGGAGAACCACAGCTCTTTTCCAGGGCATCCTGACGAACGGCATCACAAGCGGTAGGAGGCAGAGATACCACAGAAAGTACTGGGAGGTGCAGACTTTGTTAAAAGTCACGAAGATGGCCGTATGGAGAAAACAACAGAAGAGCAGGTCTCTGTGATAGGCCAGGGACACGGCTGCGAGCAGGAGGAGCTGGGGCAGGAACGCAGCCATCCCGAGCGGGAAGCTCCACTCGCTCTCGGCAGTCAAGTACAGCATGTAGAAGTAGGGAGAAAAGTTGTGCCGGATATCCCGCCGGGTCAGATGATAAAGGTAGGTGTGCTCCACAAACTCCCAACCGTACTTAGAGTAAAAGCCAAAGCCCAGGGCAAAAAACGTGAGCCCAGCCCCGGCGACGAAGAGCAGCACAGCGCCGCTGCAGAGCCCCTTCAGGAGTGCGCACGAGCGCGCCCGGAGAGAACCCCGGGCCTGGCAGCAGGCCTCCTGGGGGCGTCCTGGCAGCAAGTGCAGGGCCATGGGAAGGACGTAGGTCACCGGGTACATCTTCATATGCACCGCGAAACCGTACAGCACTGCCGCGCGGGCCACGGCCCGAGTCTCTAGGAAGTACAGGGACAGCAGCACCAGGGAGGTGACGATCGAGTCCGCGTTGCCCCGGCTGGACACTGCCATCGGCAAGGGGTTGAGAAGCCAAAACACACAGTAGCCGCACGCCCGGCGGCGGCCCAGTCCCCTGAGCAGCAGCAGGCGGTGCAAGAGGAGAGCGGTGAGGAGGTCACAGCTGATGAAGAGGAACTTGCCGAAGAGTTCGCTGAGGTAGACGTTGGGGGTGAGGAGCCAAGCGAGCAGCGGGGTGTAGCGGTAGGTGGCCCGCAGGTACGGGGAGCGCCCTTCCGTGACGAAGCGCGCGGCATCCGTGAAGACCTCGTAGTCCACGTCCGTATACCGCAGGCGCAGGGTCCGGTCCTGGAAGACGCCGTAGAAAACCAGGGCGACCCGAGCCAGGAAGGCCACGCCGAACACCCCGGCGGAGGGCACCCGCCGGCTCAGGAGCCATTCTCCCCAGCGATTCCGCGAGCTCATGCTCTGGCTGCGCCAAGGCCACGGAGCCCCCGCTCTGAAGCGACTCCCAACTTCCCAGCGCCGCTCCGGGCCCCGGCCTCAGCTCGCGGGCGCATTTCTCACCAACAGAGAGGAACGACTGAGAGCTTGGGCCGCCCACTTCCGGGACGGTGCCCCGCCCCCTAACAGACTTCCGGTTTCCGCCCCGACGCGGGGTTCGCGGTCGCTTCCACGACAAAATTACCTGCCTCCGGATTGGCTCTCGCACTTTCTTCTTCCTGGAGGGGCAGGACTTCCGGTCCATGGGGAACGGGACATCCGTTTGCCAGGAAGGCGGGGCTCGATGGGAGCGGGGGTTTTGTGTGGCGGAGGTTTTTCTTCTTTCCACCCCGGGGCTGCAGCCGCGGCGATCAGGCTTTCACCCCGTCCGCGGTCCGCGCTGGTCCCCCGGGGCTTCGATGGCTCCCAGGACTCGTATGTTCCCTCCTGCGCGGCGACAGTGGGCTCAAACATAACCATTGTCAGGATGGCGCGGGACTGGGCAGTGCTATTTCTGTTGCACACTGAGTCGGAACTGATTGGTAAACACCTAACAACAATTGTGTTTGAATCGCTCCTTTCCTTGCATTTCCAACGCCCTGCGGCGACTCAGTTTACTAGTGTATGTTGAGCACCTGAAGTCTACTAAGCTCTGTAGCAATCACTTTTACCCGTTTTTACAATCTGTAACGAGTCTAGTGTCACTTGTCTCTCAGTCTACCGCCATGTTAATACTGGTAAACAGTGTTTCAATTGATTCTTTCCTCAATGACCTTGAAAGACTCCCAGCTGCCCAAATAATAAGAAACCCCTTCGCCTCCATTCACTCACTACTATTGGCTTTATTTTTCAACCTATTCACCTACAGCAGTTCTCAACCTTCCTAAAGCCACAACCCATTAATACAGTTTCTGCGACTCTTCAATACAGTTCCTCATGTTGTGGTGACACCCAACCATACAATTATTTTCGTTGCTACTTCATAACTAATTTTGCTACTGTTATGAATTGGGTGACCCCTGTGAAAGGGTTGGTCAAACCCCGAAGGGGTTATGACCCACAGGTTGAGAACTGCAGACCTATAAAGTTCTGGGTTTGTGTTTATACCTATTGTATTTTTTCTCATGCTGTACCCCCTACAAAGAATCATATTTCTCTCCACTTATGTAAATGTCTTTCAGTAAGAGGCTTTGGTGGCATAAAGGATTACAGACTGAGCTGGTAAACACGAGGTTAGCAGCTGTTCCGTGGGAGGAAGATGAGGCATTCTGCAATTCCTCAAAATGTACAGCCTCAGAAGCAACCATGGAAGAAGCACACCAGCCTGTGTGATCAGGAGGTGTCGATGGGATAAGGTATCAGGCATCAAAGACCCAGAACAAAAAATCATATCAATGTGAATGAGGGGGAGTGTGATGGAGTGGAGACCCAAAGCCCATCAGTAGGCAACTGGACATCCCCTTACAGAAGGGTCACAAGGAAAAGACCAGCCAGTCAGGGTGCAGTATAGCACTGATAAAACATACAACTTTCCTCTAGTTCTTTAATGCTTCCTCCCCTCACTATCATGATCCCCAATTCTACCTTACAAATCTGACTAGACCAGAGGATGTACACTGGTACCGATAGGAACTGGAAGGAAACACAGGGAATCCAGGACAGATAGACCCCTCAGGACCAATAATGAGAGTAAAGATACCAGGAGGTTAAGTGGAAGGTGGGGGGAGAAAGGGGGAACAGATCACAATGATCTACATATAACCCCCTCCCTGGGGGATGGGCAGCAGAGAAGTGGGTGAGGGGAGACATAGGTCAGTGTAAGACATGGAAAAATAATAATTTAGAAATTATCAAGGGTTTGGGAGGGGTGGGGGGAAGGGAGGGGAAAAATGAGGAGCCGACACCAAGGGCTCAAGTAGAAAGAAAATGTTTTGAAAATGATAATGGCAACATATGTACAAATGTGCTTGACATAATGGATGGATGGATGTATTATGATATGAGCTGTATGAGCCCCCAATAAAATGATTTTAAAAATTAAACATTTACAGCCTCAGAAACACCAAGGAGCAATTCTACTATCCTATAGGGTTACTAGGGTGGGGATAAGTTGGAATCACAGTGGATTTTTGTCATTTAATACTAAGCTCAAGCCAAAACTCTTATGTGTACTTTTCCTAGAGCTTAGTGGGTCGAAATGATCTCTTCTTCCCCAAATTTACTGTCTCTGAATTTTAAAATGTTTCTTTTGCTGTTCTTTATGAGGTACACTATCTAATTTTTTGTAGTCGTTTAACAAAATAGACCAGCTGTACCATGTGGTCGCTGTGTGAACACTGGACAAGTCATCCCGCTTTACTTCCACTACATTTATTGAGCACCCTTCTAAGCCTGACATCATGCTACTTACCCAGCTGTATTGGTGGCCAAACACTGGCATGGATCTCAGTCAAGTGACCGAAACAGAAGTTGTTGTTATGTTGAGTGCCAAATCAGTTCTACTCAGCAACCCTATGCACAACAGAAGGAAACACTCTCTGGTCGTGCCCTATCCTCACATTGATGCTGTGTTTCAGCCCATTGTTCCGGCCACTATTTCAATCTGTCTCACGGAGAGGCTTCCTGTTTGACTGACCCTCTACTTTCCCAAACACAATGGCCTCTTCCAGGGACCCGGTCCTTTGGATTAGATGCCCAAAGTACATGAGACAGCGTTTCACCATCTTCACTTCTACGGACCAGCATTCTGGCTGTACTTCTTTCTTCTTTTTTCTTGTCATTATACTGTTGCCGATTCTGTGGTTAGTTATTAATTTTTTTATTTAATCATTTTAATGGGGGCTTATGCAACTCATCACAGTCCATACATACATCCATTGTGTCAAGCACATTTGTTGCCATCATCATTCTCAAAACATTTGCTTTCTACTTGAGCCCTTGGTGTCAGCTCCTCACTTTTTCCCCTCCTGCCCCCTCCCCCCTCCCTCATGAACCCTTGATGATTTAAAAATTATTTCATCATATCTTACACTGTCCGACGTCTCCCTTCACCCACTTTTCTGTTGTCCATCCCCCAGGGAGGAGGTTATGTGTAGATCCTTGTAATCGGTTCCCCCTTTTCGCCCCACCCTCTCGGTATTGCCACTCTCACCACTGGTCCTGAAGGGATCATCAGTCCTGGATTCCCTGTGTTTCCAGTTCCTATCGGTACCAGAGTACATCCTCTGGTCTAACCAGATTTGTAATGTAGAATTGGGATCCTGATAGTAAGGGGGTGGGGGTGGGAAGAAGCATTTAGGAACTAGAGGAAAGTTGTATTTTTCATCGTTGCTACACTGCACCCTGACTGGCTCATCTCCTCCCCGCAACCCTTCTGTAAGGGGATGTCCAGTTGCCTACAGATGGGTCTTGGGTCCACAGTCCGCTTTCCCCCTCATTCACAGTGATTTGATTTTTTGTTCTTTGAAGGCTGATACCTGATCCCTTCGACACCTGGTGATCACACAGGCTGGTGTGCTTCTTCCATGTGGGTTTTGTTGCTTCTGAGCTAGATGGCCGCTTGCTTACCTTCAGGCTGTACTTCTTTCTAGAGAGATTTGTTTGTTCTTTTGACGGTCCATGGCATATTTAATATTCTTTGCCAATACCATAAGTAGTGAAATAAATTCACAAGTAATGAAAAATTGTGGCTGTGGTAGTTCTATGAAAGGGGTGTGTAGTACGCTCTTTAGGGGGTTTGATCCAAGCTGAGGGCCTACACAATTGGGCAGGTGGGGTTGGAGGCAGGAAATGGAAAGAACTCCACAGAAGGAGGACTATGGGCAAAGTCCAATAAAATTGGACATTCCTTGACCTCAAGTTTCATGTATTGCATGTCTTTGTTCCTTGAATGGTATCTTCAACATAATAGCAACTTGGTGATTATTTGTGGATTTTTCTTGAATGTAATATCAAACATGTTCCAACCTACCTTTTAGGTCCAAAACTGGCCTTTGCCCACCCGGTGACTATTGTCCCTGTGAAGTGTTCTCCAAAGAGGTTCTCTCTTTAGAACATGTTAGTGCCAAGTTGAACCTATTATTTTATGTTTTTCCTCACACATTTGTATGTTGTAAAAAAATCTTCGGAAGACTATGCATTTCAGATGCCTTATATAGGGTCTCTATGAGTTGCAATCGATTGAATGGCAGCGTGACTATACTTCTTAGGTCTTATGACTCATCCCTAGATAGAGTTTCCTAAATGTTGTGGACCAGTGGTTCTCAACCTTCCTAATGCACGACCCTTTAATACAGGTCCTCATGTTGTGGTGACCCCCCAACCACAAAATTATTTTTATTGCTACTTCATAACTGTCATTTTGCTACTGTTATGAATCATAATCTGATATGCAGGATGTATTTTCATTGTTACAAATTGAACATAATTAAAGCATAGTGATTAATCAGAAAAACAATATGCAATTATAATTCATGAAGTGCCATTTTACCTCCAATACTGCTGCTTCCAGCACAGTAGCTGCTTTTAATAGACTAGCTGCTCTCTACACAGTAGCTGCTCTCTACACATGTGTGACTGGTCCATGTAAGTACATTATGGCTCCAACCTTGTCACACACACCTGTATCTGTACTGGGGTGTATGTGATGGGGTTGGTGGGACGATGTCATCATGCCAGGTACTCATATGTAGACGTATCTGCATGTGGGCGGACCCGCCTGGAGATGGATAGAGGAGCGGTATCTCGGTTTCTAAGACCACCGGAAATATGTGATTTCTCAATTCCAATTCATATATGGAGCCCTGGTGGTGGAGTGGGTTTCTTGTTGGGCTGCTAGCCACAAGGTGAGTGGTTTGAATTCACCAGCCAGATGGTGGAAGACAGATGAGGCTTTTAGTCTCATAAAGATTTACAGCCTCAGGCCCCCGAAGGGGCAGCCCTATAGGCTGGCTATGAGTGTTGGTAAAGGGTCCAATTTGACCTTCCTTGTGGCTTCTCTTTCTGAGGAGCAAAGTAGAAGTCATTAACTTTGGGGGTCTGTTGCCTGTACTCCAGGAGAATTCAGGGCTGAATATTT